GGGCTGGGGGTGGGCATTGCAGAGAGAGGCCTGGACCTCCATCAGGGTCTGGGTGCCATAGCCCCCTCTACCGCTAACCTGGGTGGTTCTATTCCATGTGTCTGAGCCTCAGTTTCCCATCTGTAAAACAGGAGGTGTAGAAGTCATTAGTGCTGCTCCCCAAACAGTCCCATCTCTCTACCTGCCAGGCATGTGGAAGGATTGTGTCCCCCTCTCCCTCTCTTTCCACTGAAGTGTGGCCCTGGCTTGCTCTGGCCAATGAAATGTGGGCAGAAGTGACGGGTCATTCCAGATGGAAGCCTGATCGCGTTCCAGAGGCGGCTGCCCCATCTGCCTGGGTCCTGGCAGTGCCTACTGGTCCAGCAGTGAGGAAGGAAGTGTGTTGTCGTCCTGTGCCCTGAGGGTCTTGGGCTTGTGCGTTTCTGTAATGTCACTTGGCCTCTCCTGACCACCAGATTGCATCAGTAATCTCAAACCTTCCGGGCCGTGTGGCATTCTGACTCTCATTGATCAGAGAATACTGTCAGCTCCCAGCCCACGGGCCTCTCTGAAAAGTTGTGTCTGGGAGCTACTTACTTTCCCGGGATCAAGTAAGACTGCCGAGGTCCCCATCCGGGACCCTGCCAAGCAGTGGCTGCCCTTTGCACTCAGGATAAAATCTCTCCTCCCTCTCCTGGGCAGCCTGAGGCCTTGGTGACCTGACCCCTGCTAACCTCTGACCTCATCTCTTACCACTGTACCCCCTGCTCCTGGACCCCTTACCTCTGCTCTTGGCGCCAGCGCTGGCCTCCTGTGGTCCCTCAGCCGCGCTGAGCCCACCCGCCTCCGGGCTCACGTGCTTGCTGTTCCCTCTGCCTGCGATGATCTTTCACATGGCTGAATCCTCAATTTTCTGATGTCAGCTCATGTGTGCCCCCCGTCTTAGCCTGTTCAGGCTGCTATAACAAAATATCACAGACTGGATGGCTTATCCACAGCTAAAATGTATTTTTCACAGTTCTGGAAGCTGGAAGTCCAAGATCAGGGTGCCGGCACGGTCAGGTTCGGGTGACAGTCCTCTTCCAGGTGGCAGACAACTGTCCTCCTGGTAGATGGCGCTGGGAAGCTCTGTGGGGTCTCTTTCATAAGGGCACCCATCCCATTCACAAGGGCGCTACCCTCATCACCTCCCAGATGGCTTATCCACAGCTAAAATGTATTTTTCACAGTTCTGGAAGCTGGAAGTCCAAGATCAGGGTGCCGGCACGGTCAGGTTCGGGTGACAGTCCTCTTCCAGGTGGCAGACAACTGTCCTCCTGGTAGATGGCGCTGGGAAGCTCTGTGAGGTCTCTTTCATAAGGGCACCCTTCCCATTCACAAGGGCGCTACCCTCATCCCCTCCCAGAGGCATCCCCCGCCAGTACCAGCACATCAGGCCTTAGGATTCCACCATATGAATTTGGGGGGCACAGATGTCCAGACCATGGTACCCCCTCAAAGGGTCACCACTGACCACCTTATTTTGCTTTCCACTCTGACACGCTCTTTCCCATTTTCTCACTTATTTCTTTTATCTGAAATAATCTTATTTATGAATTGCCTTCTTTGCCTGTTCATGTCTTGCTCCTCCCACTGGAAGTTAAGCTTGGAGGATCAGGGTCCCCACCAACCATCTTCACTGCCGTATCCCCAGATCCAACATCTTGCGAGCTCTCTGTAAAGATTTGTCAGATGGATGAACAACCTTGACCTGGAATTGGCTCTCCTGCTGAGCCCTGTGTGACCTACAGGTACAGTGACCCTTCTTTCTGAACTAAACTCGTATTGGCAAGGAAATCAGGGCCCCACGGAGAGGATGGCATCCTCTCTGTTTCTCTGGCTGGAGCCTTAGGGCATGTTTGGGTGGGGCTGGGCCCTGGCACCTGTGTCGTACCCCACATCCATGGACTTGAACTCATGTCCTGTTGAGCCCAGAATCAATTCTGGGCTACCGAAGGGGCTCGGGGACTTGTAGTGGTCAGGATATTTTCATTTGCAGGTGACATAAACCCAATTCCAAAGAGCTCATGTCACTGGGGAAGCCCTGGGTGTAGTTCATATGATTAAGGCAACTGCTGCAGAAACCAGAGTCTGAGGGACTGGAACTGAGGGACTCAACGCCTCTGGAACATTCTCCCCCTCTAGGTCCATCTCTTGTTTCTGTTTGACTTTGCCTTTCGGTCCCATCATCTCCTTTCAGATAGATCTTCTCCTCCTACAGCAGAACATGGCTCCCGACAGCTTCTGTTCTTCCTCAGTGGCCCCAAACGGTCCCAGGGCAGCCTCTGATTGGCTCTGCTTGGATCATGTGCACCTGTTGGGCCAATCACAGTTGCTGGGGATTTGGTCATACTCCTTCCCTGTGGCCAGGATGGGGCAGGCCATAGAGAGCGTGATCACCACGAGAGCCACATGCAGTGGAAGTGGTGGTGCCTACAGTGTGACCAGGGACAAGCTGTCACCACTGGGCTCTGATGCTGGCTGAACCCCAGAGGGTAAAATGTTCCCACAGTGACACCAATCGTGGGTGCTCAGCCAGCCTGCCACAGGGACAGGGGAAGAGCTGCGGGGGGGTAGGTAGGGGACCCACCCAATGAGATAAGATCAGTTTTCCTTTTCCCCATGTAGACTTAGTTTTGCCATCCTAGAGTGGCACTGTGGTGTCATGCAGCCCTGCCTGGAATGGCAGCTGTCCCACAAAAGAGAAGGCTGGAAAATGCTGCATGCCATGTAGCATCCTTTTGGAGAGTCACAGTATATTAAAGGTTCTGAGAAGTCCTGCAATAAAAACATCCATTTTATTTAGTTTTTTCCTCATCTATTTGACCACCGAACCCTTAAATTGTTTAAGTATTCTGTGGAGGAGCCTGTGAGAACAGCTGCTTTGGAGAAAGAGCACAAGATGCAAAAATCAGAGCTCACGTCTGAGGCCTGATGCTTAGGGGTCGTGTGCAACTTCTCCGAGCCTCAGTTTCCCCACCTGTGAAATGGGTGGTAATATTAACCCCCATGGAGTTGTCAATGTAGACTGAGAACAGGCCTTTGATAAAATATCTTGTCAGCTGTAAAACACTGTGCAGATACCCAACCATTATAACTGGTTTCACCTGGAAAATAGCACGTATCCTGTTTATCTTATTGGATAGGTTACCTATCCTCTGTCATCAAGGTTACAGGGGCAAAGGGAAAGGAAGTGACGCATCCGGGATCGGCCGAGCCAGGTGACTAATGAGAGCTGGCAGCAGAGAGAAGGGACGGCATAGCCGTGCCGTGGAAAACAAAGGCTCGGGGCCCGGAGAACAGCGGTGACACTGATGGCAGCCCTGGGGACGGGGTGCCCGGCGGGAGGGAGGTGATGACTCTCGCCGCTGGTCCCTTCTTGAAAATTCTGCCCCCACTCCCCAGCCTTCCTTGTCCCGCCCGGGGGACTCTGCCTGGGACAAAGGTGGGTCTCTGAGTTTGCTTGGCCCACCTTAAGAAAATGACTTGGCAATAGAAATTTATCGCCTCGGTTCTGGAGGCCACAAGACCAAAATCAAGGTGTCGGCAGGATGGCCGCCTCTGAGGACGGCGGGGAGAAGCTGCCCCAGGCGTCTGTCCTTGTGTCTCTTCATGTCGTCTCCCTTCTACGGGCCAAATCTCCCCTTCCTGTGAGGACACCAGTCATATCGGATTAGAGCGCACCCCAATGACCTCATTTTAAATGGATTACCTCTGCGAAGTCCCTACGTATGCCCAAATAAGGTCACATTCTGAGGTACCAGGGGTTCTGACTTCAACGTATGAATTTGGGGGAGACACGAGTCAACTCACAACAGTGAGCATTCTCTGCAGCGGGCATCTCCCTCCATCTCTCCAGCCCACCTCCTTGGCCGAAAGCATGTGGATTATGGCCTGCCGGAAGAAAGAGAGGGCCCATAATTGTGTTAATTGCCACAATACCAGATCTGCAATTAATATGCCATGGGAACAAAGAGCAAAGGCACTAATCGCACATAATTGGGCTTAAACTACACCCTCAGCAGAGCTGCGCCTCCGAGCTGCACTGTTTATGCTCCTTTTCAAATTAGCAGAGACACAAATTAACATCCGTTTCCCCTTCATCCTGCTCCGAGGGGAGCAGTGGAGGGAAACTTGGGGAGGGGGATGCTTGGCAGCCCGATTGGATCTTGTCCAGAGCCAGGCACTCAGGCCTGACCTTGGGAGCCATGGGCAAGACAAGGGCGTGGAAGGAGTACGGCATCCAGACCTTTCTGCAAGTCCTGGCACAGCGACAACCTGGCTGGAGCCTTGGCAGATCTCCACCCAGGGTGGTTGGGACAGGTGGCTTTGTTCTCTGTGGGGTGCCTGCCGTGAGGGTGGCGACGATTTGGGGTCCTGGGGCAGGTTTGGAGACTTGAGGCTCAGTGATGCAACCTCTCCTCCGTTCCTGGGTGGCAGTCAGGCCCAGGGGCAGATAGTAGACCTCCTTCACTCGGAGGGGCAGATAACAAGTGCTCTTGCCCCGCTTCCTTCTGCCCTCTCAGCATACAGCCCTGACGGCTTTGTGTCTCTGTGACCCTGGGAACGGGCTGTCTGCAGTCTGCCCTGCCCAGGCTTGCCTCCTTCAGCTAGAAGGCACCCTCCCAGGCCTGGAGGTGGCTGGCAAGAGCTTTGGTCCTCACAGACAACATCCCTTGCCCCGCCCCCCAGTGTGTGTCTGGGGCTCCTCGCCCTGGGCCTCCCCATCTGCCTCTTCTCTCTCTCTCCAGCTCTCTGGTCTTGCAGCTCAGGCAGTGTGCCCTGCCCCCTCTCAGTCTGTCAGGGCTCCTAGCTGGGCCAGTGCAGCCTGGGTTCAGGGTGGGGATGGGCTTGACAGACTCCTCAGCTGGGCCCCTCCCCTCACCTGCAGGCCATAGGTCGCCCACCCCTGCCTCCCAGGGCTTGGGCGGAGGGTGAGAGAGGCCCTTCTCGCTCCAGTGCATTCTTGCGATTTGCCTCTCTGCCTTTCCCAGGCTCTGCTGGGCCTCCTGCCTGGCTCCTCCTGAGCCAGGCGCACAAGTCTCGTTGGGAATTCTCAGGGCTCCGTGTGAGGTGGATTGGGGGAGAGGACCGACTTCCTCTGACAGGGCGCATCCTCGCTAGCATCCCCTGAAACAATGCACTCAGCTGATGGAGACCCAGCACTGCAGCTTCACGAGGCCACAGGTGAGCAGAATCTGGGCAATGAGGAGGCAGGAGTCACCCCCCCGCTTCCTGCTGTCCCTTGAGGCCCAAGAGGAAACTAGAGATAGGAGGCTTTCAGCATGCACAAAGGGCCAGCAGTGAAGTCCCTCCCCCGGTAAGTGGTCCCTTCCCCTGGCTCTTCCTGCAGGCTGGACAGAGAAGGGCGCAGCACCAGGCCTGTGACAGCAAGGCTTGCTGTGATGTTCCAGCCCTGAAGGTGCCTGGGGCCCATGATCAGGGCTGTGCAGAAGAGAAGCTCTGGGAGGAAGGCGCCTGACTCAGCCTCCTAGTCAGACAGGCAAGGACACGGGCCTCAGGGCTCCTAAATAACCAGCAGGATTTGAGCAGGCAGAGAGAGAAGCGTTAGTCACTCCCTGCTCTGTCCATCCCCTGGTTTGTGGGCTGACTGAGAGAGGACCTAGCTGGAAGAATAGACATCATGTACTGAGCCCTCGCTATGGGCCAGCGACAGTGTCGAGTACTTACGATGCATTAGCATGTTTAATCTGCACCACGTCCCTGTGAGGTACGTGTCATAATGATCCCGCTTTATAGATAATGAAAGAGAGGAGAGGCCAAAGAGCTAGGAAATGACAGACTCGGGGGTAAATGAGAGAAGGCTCTAGAAGGCCTTGGTAACCTGGAAAAGGCCATGTGCAGGTGAGAAGGCCAGCTGTGCAGTGCGTAAGGGTGGGAACTGGCCTGGGATGATGAGGGCAGGCCTGTCTTTACACAGAAAGGACTTCCTGACTGACCTGTGGGATGGGGTGGGGGGCCTGGTCCTTGGCTGAGACATCTGCTTCGCTTCACTGTGCCACCCCAGAGTCTTGGCTCACCCACCCGACCCCCCTCCCCGTGGAGCTGGGGGGTGGGGAGGGCTGTTGAACAGGATGGAGACCAGCCAAGCGGTTCTTCCATTTGCCGCCCCTCTGACTTTTCGTGGCTTTGGAGACACTTTCACCGCCAGAGCAGTTTCTGGGAGACAGTAATGTCTCGGGTAAGAGCTTCGGTTTTGGGGCCAGACAGATCTGGATTTGAATCCGGCCTCTGCCACTTAGCTGTGTGACCTTGAGCAAATTACTTAACCTCTCTCAGCCCCAGCTCTTCTGCGAAAGCGAGATAACCATTGTACTCATCGCATGTGATTGCTGGCAGCATGAAATCAGACAATGCGTGCAGAATGCTTCGAGCAGGGCCAGCCCACAGCAAACACTGACTGTGTGAGTTGCGCTCATTATTTCTTGATCTCTGGGGGGTGATTAATCCTGCTACACAGATGAGGAAGGAGAAAAAAGAGGTACCCAAGCAATTAAATGAACTGGAGCTTGAAAGGGCCAGAGATTCTGAAATCTGGCTTTTGACTTTTATTGGAGTTTGCTGGCCCGGGGAGCTCTAGGGCAGAGGAAAATGCACGAAAAGGCCAGAGAAGCCTCATCTGAGGGCTGGATGGTCTTGGCGAGTCACTCAACCCCTCTGAACTGCTTCCCATCAGTTAAATAGGGATCAATAAACCCCAACCAGGGAGATTGCTGTGCATCCCGAATGCATACAGATGCCCTTGAGAAAGGGCATGTGCTCAACACACGCAGACCCGAAGGCGTTGTGTGAAAGTAGTTGTAACCATCATCAGCTCCTTCCACTTCTCAAAGCACAGTCCCTCATAGCCTCTTCGCCCTTGTCGTCATGGTGAGAGCGGCTGCCACTAATTGAGCATCTTTCATACGTCACAGACTGAGCAAAACCCCTTGTATGCATCCTCTCATTTAATCCTCACAATAATGCAAAGGAGGTTATTGTTATCATGATGCCCATTTTACAGATGAGGAAACCGAAGCTCCGTGTAATTGGGCTGCCTGGTCTTTCCTGCCGTTAACTGGAACCCAGGTCTGTCTGATGCAAGACCACGTGAGTAAGGCATTCTCCTGTTTTTTTGTTTTTTTGTTTTTTAATCCACTTTACCCTACAACCTCTCCTGAGTTCCGGGAAATAGGATGGAGCTACGGGGAGAACCCAGGTTTGGTGCTCTTTCCACTGTACCCCAAACAGTGGCTGCGTTTCTTCTGTGGTGCCGGGGAGGCTGTGCTGTTTCCACCCTCGCCTTTCCCTGCTCTCCCTGAAACCTGGTCCAGTTCTTCCCATCGTGGCGTCGCGTGCAGACAGGGCACATCGAATTTGGCTTCTGTGCCCTCGGAGGGACAGCGTTTGCCCATATGTGGCGTGTGCGTAGTGCGTGAGTGTATAATTTGTCCTGCGGAATAGCCGCCCTGTCCCCTCCGCCACATGCGGAAATAAATGGCTCACGTGCATCCCCCAGCTGCCCAGCCGAAGAGGGGAGGGGGTTATACTGTGTGTTACCTTTTGGAGGGAGTAGAAGCAGGGCACCCCAATCTTCATCTCACCTTTTGGGGGGTGCGAAAGCGAGCTGCCTGGCTTCTGTGGGAAACTGGAAATGTTCACCGGCCAGCGGTGTCTGGCCTTCGTGTGTGGTAATCCTTAGTTCCTTGGCAAATGGAGAGCCATGGAAAGTATGAGAGAGCCTGAAACCAACCCTCAGGCCCGACACGATTCCCTGGGGACCGCCCTTTCGGAAGTCAGGGTTTCTGCCACCGCCAGAGAGGCTTAAAGCTCGGAGCCGTGGGCAGCGATGAAGAAGAACAGCTAACGTGCGTTGGCTCATCTATCCCCCACACCCACCCGGTGAGGCAGGCGCTGTCTTCTCGTTTCACAGATGGAGACACCGAGATGGGAGTGGCGAGGGACCTCACGCAAGGCCACAGAGGGAGAAAGCAGCCCGACTGGCAAAAGAGACCAAAAGGCTCGCTGCCAAGTTCTTTGTAAAAGACTGGAAACTGCCCATCAGCAGGGGACTGAGGAAATAAACTCCCGCGTGTTCACATAAAGGAAAACTGTTTCTCCACTCACTTCTGACCCCCGAACGTGTGGGGTTTCACACCAAGCAATTCTCTGATTCTCTGTGGGCACCAACTGGGTGTCCTACAACTTAATCCAGTTCTGACACTAACTACCGACAAGGCTGCCTCCACTTCGGATGGGTCCCCAGGTTATCCACAGCTCTGTCCGACTCAGCTACAGTTCTGGGGGTTCCCATGACCGCCTTCGATAATTTGTCATAATGGCTCACAGAAGAACTCAGGGGAACACTTTTACTTATCTCTACTGGTTTATTATAAAGGACGTTATAAAGGATACAAATGAACAGCCAGACGAAGAGGCACATACACCAAGGCCTGGAAGGGTCTCCTAGGGCAGGAGCTCCTGTCCCTGTGCAGTTGGGGTGCATCGCCCTTCCAGCACATGGATGTGTTCGCTGGCCCAGAAGCTGTCCAAATCCTAAAGTTCGATTTTCATGGAGCCTTCATTATGTATGCATGATCGATTATTAACTCAATCTCCTCTCCCTGAGGTTGGGGGTGGAGTGCGGCTGAAACATCCAAGCTTCTAAACATGGTTTGGTCTTTCTGGTGATGACTCCCCATCCTAAATCTCACTGAGAGTTCCTGCAATAGAACAAAAGATGCTTCTGCCACCCAGGAAATCCCACGGGATTTAGGAGCTCTGCGCTAGGAACCAAAGATGAGAAACAAATACCTATGTCTCATTATATCATGATATGATATCACACAAGTTATGAACAGGAATGAAGACAGTATAGAGATGGAGTCATCTCTGGGATATTTTATTAAGTAAAAAAAGCAAGATGCAGAACAGCAGGTGTGACATCCTTTTGATCTAAGGGAGAGAAATATATTCAAATATTTGCTTGTATTTAAAAGAAAAACCCCACAATGAAAGAATACGCTCAAAACAGACAAAATGGTAATCTATAAGGGAAGAAGGGGTCAGGAGACAGGAATGGAACTAGACTTCTCTGAGCACCTTGCTTAAAATCATGCAAGTATTTAATATAACCATAAAAGAAAATTAAATTGAAAATTTACAAAAGGGAAGGAAGTGGATACATGGGTTCGATCCAGAGTCCCAGCCCTAAACACACATCCTTTTGCTTCTTTTCATTATTATCCCTTCTATCAGCCAGCGATGGAGTGACCTGGCCAGGCTTCCAGAAGCAGAGATGGGGCCACACAGGGCCCTTGGTGGTGGTGCTGGTGGCTGTGGTTTTAGTACCCTTGGGGGTTTGTAAGTCAGTGGCTGTCATCAAGATTCTCACAAGCTTCTCCTCAGCAGCCCTGGACCGGGTTTGCTCCCAAGTGCATCGCTAGGACAGTGGCTGCCATGGCTGATGACCTACCCCCAGCTTCAGCCTGGTCCCATAAACATTTGGCGAGGCTCCCAGAGCTAACAGTGATAACACGCCCTCTTGAGAATGGCTCGGCTTCCTGGCAAAGGGCTTTCCTGCACGAGATCCCATTTCATCCTCACGGCAACTCTGGACTTGGGAATGGTCTTCCTGGTGAGGAAAGGTGACTTGCTCCCACGGCCTCATACAGCTGAAGGGTGGTGAAGCCCCACCTCTGACTGGGGTGGAGCAGGCAGGCTCCCAGCTGGGGGGTCCAGGCAGGGCTTTGTTTTTGGTAATTTCACATAGGAACTAAGGCACTGTTTGAGGCTCAGACAGACATGAAATTGAATCCCAGGTGTCCTTTTTTTTTTCAGCAGTGGATTCTTGAGCAAATGTTACATTACTCTCATCTGGAATAATAAAAGTACCTCTGGAAACTGTTGCTAGAGGCAAAAATGATATGTCATTTACAGGTAAAGAGCTTAGTACAGAGGCTGTTATTAGCAAGAGTCACTTTGAAAGATGCAGCATCCTGGAAATTCTGTGTCCTCTTTCCTACTGCACAGACGGGTAGACTATATGTTTAGAAGTTCAAGTCTTCCTTGCCCAGCTGACAAAGCCACCTCCTTGTCCTCCCGTCTAAGAACCCCCTAAGGACAGGCCTGGGTGTTGTCTCACTTCCTGCTGCTCCAGGGCCTCTGGCTCGGCTGGCTTAGCTCAGGCGAGGCCCCTCTCTGCTAACCATAGCACAAGTCTGCATTGATCCCTATCATAAGGCCTTTTCGAGGATTAACCAAACCATCACGTGGAGACATTTGAAAAGTGCCAATATGGCCGAGGCTATTGTCAGGCCGACCGGAAATGGAGCTCATGGCTTCCAGGACACTCAAGCTGAGCCTCGCAGCTGGGCTAACTCTCCTGTGGGCAAAATCTCAGCGTGTGCAGGTTGCACCGAGCTTCCTGGCTGTCTGTCTGCCCAGCGGCAGGTGGACGTTTTTGATCTGTTTCTTTAAGGGACAGCGAGGGAAAGAAGATAAAGGGATCAGGACTCCAGGCACCACAGAGCTTTTGTGTTTCTAATGGAACTGCATAGATTACATTCTCCTTCTTGGCATCAGCCTATTGACTCGAAACACCGTTCTGAGATTATACCTTTCTGATTTCTCTGTAAATCTCAAAGGTCCCGGGAAACACAGAGGGCGCACCTTCTACCCTGTGAGGTGTGATCCCCCAGAATACAAAACACGAACACGGCAATTCATTGAGCTCGTCACTGGGTTTTTGTCGAGTAGCTACTGTGTGTTCGGCAGTACACTAGCAGTTCAGGAGGCTCCTGAGGGAAAAAGAGGAACCGCCACGTTTAGACCTACCGTGTACTAGGCTCCGAGAGGCACTTTAATTGCATCATCTCATTTAATTCTCACAACTCTGGGAAACAGGTATCGTTAACCCATTTCATAGGTAAGGACGGCGGCTCAAAGTTCTGTAAGTTGTCCAATGTCATCCGCAGGAGCGGGAGCCGGGATTCGCATTCAGGGTTGTCCGACTGTACCATTTGGGTCCTTCCTACCAGAAGAGTGGAGAGAAGAACAGAACAGAAAGTAGCAGATTATCAAGCCTCAGGTGGTTAAGAGCAGGAGGGGGTTGGGGAGGGAGGGACTGATAGGAGGACTTCCTGGAGGAGGCAGCCCAGTGGTACACTGTTGGGACCTGAGGCTCAGGGCAGAGGTGGAGGAGGGTGTGCCATGTGATGCTGGCATTCAGGTGAGACTGCAGACACTGAGGTCAGCTGGGGGCGGGGCTGGCGTTGAGGGGTGGAAGGCCCAGCAGAGCTGTCTGGACCTGATGAGGTGGCAGCAGCAATGTCTGGAGAGGATGACTCTGCAGTGCCGGCCGGAAGGGGTGGAGGGGCATAGCCAGGGGAAGGCAGGGGCCAAGCAGGAGCCTTGGGAGGGGTCCAGCCAAGGGGAGCCTAGTCCTCCGGGACCCAGGGGAGGGCATGGCAGGGGAAGCAGAGATGGAATCTTCGGGCTTTGGTGGAGGATGCCTTTGAGGGACAAAAGACAGGAAGAGCATATATCCATTACAGATTGCTTTGAAACACTCTGTTCCTCACACCTCTGTTCACTACTGTTCAAGGCCTTCCTGTGGCCTGCAGGACTGAGCCCAACTCCCTCATCCTGCCATTTAAGGCACTTCACAATCTGGCCTCAAGCTACCGTTTTGGGCTCCTCACCCACTACTCTCCTAAATACGTCCTCTGCTCTTCACAAACCAAGTGACTCATTCTCCTCCCAGTGTCTGCCCCACCCCAAGCTGGTCTCCACAAGTCTCACCAGCCAGCCAGACCCTCTCAGCAAACACCGCTGTGACAAGTCCTTGTGCAGTAAATCACCTTTGATAGCTCATCCTGCAGCCTGAATGATTAACATTTGGCATTTAACTTTTGCCCTTGGTGTCTCCTTCATGCCACTGCCCTGTCCGCAGCCCGATTTTTCTTTTTATAGTAGTTATGGCAACCGGGGAAGTCATTTCACCTGTCTTAGTTTCTTCATCTGCAAAATGGAGCCTATAACGTTGTCTCATAAGGCACAGTGCCTGGCTCATAGGAGTCCTCCACGACTTCCAGTTCTTTCCTCTGGTGTGGGGCGGTCCCAGGGGTGAATGGAAGGTGGAAGGCCCAGGACAGGAGGACAGGGCAAGACCAGAGACCCCTGTAGGGATCTCCCGAGGGACCCTTTTTACCCACTCGGATCTCTGCATTTCTAAGGAACCGTTAGCATCACACTAAGATCTAGAAAGGGCGCGCGCACAAGCCGCCTCTATAAAAGCCAGACACGGATTTCATCAACGAATGGAGGAACAGTGAGTTACACATTCAGGACAGACTCCCTGGAGCAGGCAACCCCCCGCCTCCAGCAGGGCGGCAGCCCCTGCAGGCAGCACGCGCCGCGCAGCCCTCGGCTGTTTTCAGAGCGCGGTTCGCTGACCTCCTCCCCTTGAACACCTTTCGCGACTCCGAAGGCTCCCTCTCATCGCCTCCTCTTGGCAGAAGAGGACACCGAGGTTCTAGGAGGCGACGTGACTCGCTCGAAGTGGCCCGGGCCGTTGGCACTCAGGGCCCTGCACCCTCCAGCGGGGTCTGCACTCCTTAGGGGTGGGGGCGAGAGGGACAGAGAGGGAGGCGCGGGCCCCGGGGTACCGCTCGCTCGGCTCGGGAGCGTGGGGCGCGCGCGTGCGGATGAGGAGCGGATGCTCGGAGCTGCCGCTGGGTCCGGGGGTCCCGTCCCCGGGCCCCTCGTCCCCGGGCCCCTCGTCC